AGAGACAGAGACAGAGACAGAGACAGAGACAAAAATAGAAACAAAGATCACAGAATAGGCTTGTGATTCTTGACGAGATATTTAAATTTCTTATGCCTTAGTTTCCCCACCAATAAGGAAAGGTGTAATCATACTATTTTGTTGTGAAAGTCAGATTACTAGAAGAATACAGATTACTCAGGATCATGCCTCAAAAGTAGTAAAATAACTAGCGTATGTCAGGAGTTATTCTTCTTATTATTACTTTTTGTGCAAAGGCGTTGTGACCTGGAAAATCCCGTGTAAATTCAGGATTTGCCATGACTGTCAACAGTGATGGCCTCCACTCTACCCACAACCTCACTTCTTCCTTCCACCTCATTCTGTGATTTTGGGCAGCAAGACATTTCCACAGAAGGAAAAGAAGGTGCAGATAAACAGAGCACTCTGTCTTTCCTCCTCTCCTTCTCCAGGGCCGGGCTCCAAAGCTCCCAGCCACACAGCCTGCCCCCCAAGGGTACCGCTAGGTGATGATGCACCTTACTGGGCTGGCAGCCTGGGGAGATACAGCCCTTTCTCTTTCCCATCCTCGAGAAATGTTTCCTGGACTGGAAAGATAAATTGGCCATCTAAGTGCCTGTCTGGCAAGCGCAAGGACCCAGGTTCAATCCCCAGTCCCACATGCCAAGCGTGGGCATATTGGCACATGCCTGTAATCCCAGAGCTGGGGAGGCTACAACAGAAGGATCACTAGGAGTCTGAGCTGCATAGCAAGACCCTATACCAAGGGCCAGGGAGATGGCTCAGTGGAATAAGCGCTTCCCTGGCAAGTGCAAGGGCCTGAGTGCAAAAAACAGTTCCACCAAAAAAAAAAAAAAAAACCCTATACCAAATTAAGAAATATAAGATTTAAAAAAAAATTAAAAAGAGGTGTTTCCTGTCCTGTTTAGATCTAAGTAGTAAGTAAAACCCATGGCTCACCAGAGATGCTGCTGAGCCATGAAGGTGGAAATAAGAGAAGGTGCCTCTTCCTCAAGTCATGTTTCCTCCGCTTTGTTAAAACATGCTAGCTTACTGCCCTGTGCACTGCACAACCTGTGTGAACATATGTGGCAGCCCTGAGGCCTGCATTTATTCATCCCTCTTCCTGTTTAGGTCCTGAAGCACCTTCGGCATCTAAACTTCACCAACAACATGGGGGAACAAGTCACTTTTGATGAGTGTGGAGACCTGGTGGGGAACTACTCCATCATCAACTGGCACCTCTCCCCAGAGGACGGCTCCATCATGTTTAAGGAAATTGGGAATTATAACGTCTATGCGAAGAAGGGCGAGAGACTCTTCATCAATGAGAATAAGATCCTATGGAATGGCTTCTCCAGGGAGGTATGTGTGGTCTATAAGAACGCCAGATGCCCCCTCCACAGATGGGAGGAGGCTGTGCTGGATGTTGGGAGGGCTGTGGGGCTCCACCCTGAACTTCAGAATGGCGAGTACGTTCCTTAACTTATTAGTTAACTACTCTGTATATCCAGTGCTTCTGTGAGCTCCTGCAGTGTTTAATGTGCAAAACAGAGGCCTCAGAACCAAAACCTCATGCCTTCTTGTTATATTGAAACAATTTAACTTTGTAAAAATATGAATGACTGGCTACTAGTAGTTTCCTTAGCTAAAACTTTTTCTAAACCAGAGAAAAATATTTAAACAAACATAAACATCTCTTGTGTCAATAGCTGTTAACTGGGACAGAGAGACCCACCCTCCCTATTCTGGGTAGGTGAGACAGGTCTGAGAATGGAGGAGACTGCTTTTTCATACGTCACCAGAAGTACTAGTGGCCTTTGGCATGTTGATCCAGAGATGCTAACTGCCCAGGATATATAGGATGATCTTGCAGGACAAAGATTTACCTCCCATATTAATTGCCAGCTACCACAATTGGGAGACACTCTAGTCTTAAAACTGAGGTGGGTGCTGCAGGAAGAGGTGTTGGTTGTTACCACCATGGCCAATTGAAAGTTAATGCCTCCACAGTTCACAGGTTTTTGTGGGCTTCTACCTCACAGAAGTAGTTTTCTTTCATCCATATAGCTCAGAACAACCTATTTGTTGTTCAAATCAAAAGGACCATTTATTCTCCTACAATGAGAGATCTGTAACAAAGACAGAAACACTTGTGCATGTGGCCGGAGCCTCCTTCCCTGCATATCACTGGATCTGAATGCCTGTGAAGTAACCAGAAATCCCTCACTCAACAAAGATTCACTCAAGCAAAAGACACGGGATATGCTGCATTGATGACTCTGGTTGCTGTATCCTAGAATGTAGCTGGATACTGAAGGCCCAGTTCCTCAGCAAAAACACAGGCCCTGGAAAAAAAAAAAAAAAAAAAACAGGCCCTGGACTGGACATCCTGTCTAACTCTCCCAGGAAGCCTAGCTGAGATCCACCACATTTGTCATTGTGTTTGCCTTTCTGTTGTTGTTTTCTTTGAGCATCTTGAACCACCTTCCATATCAGGACCAAAGATTGCTTTTATCTTGTTAGCAAATGCTTCTTGGGTTGATGGTGTCTAATAAGATTCTATGATTTCACCATTTCCCAACAGATAGAGTGGGGTACCCTCGGGAAGTTCTCCTAGACCGTACCCATCCCCATCTTTGTGAGCTTGCACCTCAGAGGATGGAGTCTAGGTTACTGATGTGTAATGACCTTTTCCAGATGGAGCTTTTGGGATTACAGAGTTTATACTCTGCTCACTGATTTTACCCTTTTCTAAATTATTACCCACTTCAGCCAATCACAGTGTAAACTGATCAGTATAAACAACCACAGTGTGAGCTGTACCGTGCCTTGTTTACCCCCATTGAATAGTCCACATTCTCTTTCACCCACTTATTGCATATAACTGATTGTCTCTAACTGATGCATGTCTCACCTCCCCTCCTGCTTGAAAGTTATTTCTTTAGTAGTTTTCTATAAGTTCAATGACCCAACCAAGCTATGTGCATCATAGGCCTGAACATTAGTGAGTGAGTAACAGAGGACTCTCATAAATTTAGTCACTTATGTTCCTAAATCGTTAGAGAATTACAAATAAAAATTTTCCATAGAATCTTTGCCTTAAAGCTAGCCCACGATATGCACTCAACAAATCATAGGGTCTAACTCACTCTTTCCTAACTTTTTTGTACATGTTACCACAAAAAAACATATTCTATACTTAACTATAAATCGCATATTAGTAACTTTACTGCATATCTCACAAAATTATTACTATGATCAAGTGAGATCAATGGTATTTAGCATATTAAAAACTGAATTATACTACATGAATTCAAAGTGTTATTTATGTACATTATATCTCTTTTTCATCATTGGGGAAGGAGGTGGGGCCTCATAGTTTTCCATTTAGTGACACCCCTAGCCCTCCAGCATTACTGTGTGTATACTGGTCACTCCCTATCACTGGAACAAAATATGCAGTGTTCATAACTTAAAGAAGGAGGGGTTGGGGTCATAGTTTCAATGGGTTCAATCTGTGGCTGTCTGGTTCCAAGTGGAAATGGCCTGGTGGGACCCGCCTGGCAGAAGAAGCCACTCACCTCCTGGTGGATTGGGGCGGGAAAGAATCCACCCTTCCAGATCATCCCATCGGTGACCCACATCTAACCAACTCCTGTCTCCTAACAATCAGCAGTAGACAAATCCACTGATGAACACAGTGCTCCCATGCATTAATGACTTTCCAAATGCATGAGACTTTGGGGGGCTACTTTAGAACTAAACCATAATAATTCCTGAATCAATATTCTCAATTTAGTTACAAATACAGCCTTTGAGATCTACATGGGTCTTTAAAGATACTTGTATGATCCACTCTTTCAATTTGGAGATGACAGTACTGAGGGTTAGGGATGCAAAGGTAACTTCCCAGCCCTGATGAATGGCCAATGTAAGAGCTGAGAGTAGAGTTCAAGGGCCCAAACTCTGACCTCAGTGCTCAATTCTCTGTACTCCTCTGCTAATACTTCTTTCTGTGTAAAAGAAATATAAAAGCATATTAAAAATGGAATTATACTACATAAATACAAAGTGATATTTATGTACATTACATCTTTTTTCAGCTGGGAATGTAACCCAGTGCTTCATGTATCCTAAGCACATAGTTTTCCACTAAACTATACCCCCAGCCCTCTAGCATTACTGTATATCTGTACTAATGAAGGAGTAAGGTTTTATATCCTTGCTTGTATATCTTCATTCAGGGGTTGGGATTAGATGAGCTTCCTTGGCAAACATCCTCAAGGATCATCAGGGAACCTGAGAGATACTGGATGGCTTCTGGATAGTGGCTCTATCTAGTGGTGCCCCCGCCCACTCTTGTGATGAAAGGATTTATCTTTAACTGATAGATGCTGAAGAAGGAAGGAAGAAAACTCATAGGTGACCTTCTCCTAAGCTTTTACTAGCTCTTATAAAATATACACACTGGAGACTGACCTGGGTGTGACTCTCACTGTCCCTCTGGGTCACTGTATGCCCTTGAGTTTATTCTTTAACCACTAGCAGGAAGAGAATAAGAGCCAAAGCTAAAGGATTTTAACCCCTCTGTATTTATTTTTTCATTTTTATGCATTTGGTACAGGATCTTATATGCAGCTCAGACTCATAGTGGTCCTCCTTAAAACCCTCTGCATTTGTACTTCCCTTTTTCTTTAATAATAGAACTCTGTTTTAGCTGAACCCATGACCACTCATCATAATAAGGGTGTTCCCAGCCTGCTGTCTGGATAAATGTGGCTCTGCAGCTCCATCCTGGAGAGTGAGAACTGGCAGTGTTGTATAATAGCATCTGGGAAGCTTCCTCTAGAAAGTGCTCATGCCAGGCGTGGTGGTAGCACACAGGGTGATCTCAGCACCCTAGCAGAGAGGATCACAGGCTGAGGTCTACACAGTGAGACCCTGTCTCCAAAAACAAGTGCTTATAAATAGCTTTTGTTTTCATCTTTGCCCCTTCATATATCTTCCCTCTTGGAAACCATATGGCACTATGCTGTAAGGATCATCATAATTTAAATCCAGATTATCTCCCAAGATACTCCTGTTTGGAGGTGAGGTCTTGGAAGGCAGCTGAATCATGGGGCGCTATACTCATCAATGAATTCATCTACTGTGCGCCCAAAGCTGTATGTGCTGTCAGCAGAGAGGGCCTGCTTGGAAGCAGTGGGTCAGTGAGAGGCACATCTAGCACTCCAGTCCCTCCCTTTGCTCTGTGCCTCCTGGCCTCAGGACGTGAGCAGCTTTCCTGTGCCAGGCCCTTTCACTATGCTACTCTTGCCTCAGGGCCACCCACTCGTAGACTAAATCCTGTAAAACCTGTGATCCCTAATAAGCCTCTCCTTTAAGTTGTGCGTGTCGGGAATTGTGTTTCCACAAGGAGAAAATGAGTCCGACAAGGACCACGAGGCAAAAACCTCACAACAGACAAATAAGGTAGGAAGGGTCTCGATCTCCAGCCCCATAGAAGGCCCTATAACTCTTGACTGTGTCCCTGGGCATTTATGTCAGAGAAAAATACATTTCAATCTTGTTGCAGACATCATTATTTTGAGATTTCTGGCACTCAGGGCCTAACAGAAACCAAAAGAGAAATCTACAAAGTTCACTTTCTGAGGCCAATAGAATCTCAATACCACATAGACAAGAACAATACAAGAAAAGCTAAGTACAGCAATCCTGCTGAATAAGATATAATTTTATTAAGCAACGTGTTCAAATCTTAATTGTTAGTAAACTTATACCAGCAACATTTAACTACATAATACAAAATGACCTGGAAGTGTTAATAGGGGATTTACTGGAATGGAACAATATTACAAACTTCAATAGAATATTATAAGCTTCAGAAATGTAGCTTATCACATACGCAAAGTGAAAGTTCTAGGATAGTATCAACACAGAGATTCAGTTAGCATTCCACACTTGCAAATAAAAAGCAAGAACTTTATAAATCTACAAAGAAAAAAGATGCTCACTTTTCCTTTCCTTAGTACAGCAACCACTGTTCTTTTTTAATAAGGAAAATCTGAGCACATTCTTAGTGTAAGTCTGCAGAACAGGATCCACGGCCTTCATCCCACAATTGGATGGGTGGGTTACTCAAGAAGGGCACAGAGGACATCTCTGAGGGCACCTTGTCACCCAAGTAGAACATGTGCTTGGGAAATTTCCAGCACTCTTTGCTTTCTTTTCCAAGGCTGTAAGAATCTTATCAATCATCAGTATTTAGTCCTCTCTCACTAGAAGAGCATATGGGTCACTTTCCACTCAAGATATAAAAAAAAAAAAAAAAAAACCTCCTGTGTCAAGCCAGTTATTTATTTTCTTCCAAGAGCACTAGTAATGACCATTTTATGTGTTGTTTTCTGTGGCTTTAACTCTGTCAGATGCCTTTCAAAGTAGGTAAGTGGAGAGAGACTTATAAAGAGTCATTTTAGAAAAATGTGAGCCTTGAAAGATATCAAATACTATTAAAAGCTTTATAACATGAATTACAAAGATAAGTGATATTTGCTTCCTACATTTAAGAAACATACGTTTTTCAAGATAGGCTTCATTCTATCTATCGTTCCTAAGGCATATAGACTGTTAGGTAGTAAATAATAAATTCTAAAGTAGTCAGTTACCTGAAATGATCAAAGAATGAAATAAAAGCAGAACTTCCAAAATTTTGGAGCAATGATAAAGGTGGACCAAACTGTCAAATACAACCACTTAAGAACCTGAAACTCAACCCAAAGCATCCCATGGAAGTCAGGTCTTTTTGTTTAAGAAAAACTAATGAAACTCTAGGAAGAATAGTGTCATATTGTGGTGTTTTAACATAGGGTTGCTCTCCAATTATTCCTAATATTTTGCTTGTTCTTTAGAAGTTGGTTAGTTGGTTGGTTGGGTAGGTGGGAGTTTTTGAGACAGGATCTTGGTATATATTCCAGGTTGGCCTTGAACTTACTATGGTACGTAGCCTGGCTGGTCTCAAACTCAAATGATCATACCACCTCAGTCTTCCAAGTATTTGGATTACAGGTGTGCCCCATGGTGCCTTGCCTTTTTTTTCTCTATGGTAATCATGTAAGCTATAAGTGGTAACTCCTTTCTGATAGAGAGGACCTTATGTTTTCCTTGTATTAGTTCACTAGCTAGGATTTCTAGTGCAGTACCAAATAGTACTGATGACAATAGGCATCTTCGTTGTAAAAGAAATACTTCTAATATTTTGTCATGTAGAATGATGTTTACTGTAATTTTTCAAAACAAAATCCCATTATGTTGCTCAGGCTGGCCTTGTACTCCTAGGTTTAAGACATCCTTCCTCTTCAGCCACCTGAATAGCTGCAACTACAGGCACACACCACCACACCCTGCCTACTTATAAATTTTCTAATTTCCAACATAATCATGATATACTTTCTTTGTTATGTCTTGTCTAATATTTGCTATTTCTTTTGCTGTTTTTTTATCCATTTTCAAGTAGCAGAAAATAATGATGCTTTTCCCTGGTTCCCTTGGATCACTTGTATTTTGCAAGCACCAGAATGGTTGGGTATTTTAAGGTCCATGACCAGGGCACATGGCTCTTTTCCAAGGCTGCTCATAGGCTAATGGACCTACAAACTCAGAGAGGCAGAAGAGCCTAGAACTTTACATTTTCCTGTAATATGACATAGCCAGTGAGTGATGCGGCAGTACACAACCCCAGCCCCTTCTCGGATAGGACCAGCTAAGGCGGAGCCCACAGCTCGTGAGGTGCAGCTATATATTTTTGTCTTGTCCATAATCTTCTTGTTTGGTTTTAGTACCTGGGTTATTATATCAGTTTTACATAAATGAGTTAGAAAATATTCCCCTTTTTCTGATTCTCTAGTAGTTTGAGTAAGATTAGATGGAGCTCTTCCTTCAAAGTTTGCTGTGATAAACACAGGATGATTGTGGTCACCCCAGAAATGAATACATGGTGGAGGAAAGAGCAATAGGAAGCACAGTGTTAGATAGAGGTTGCTGTCCATATGTAGTTTTTGCTTTAGATGATAGTTATTAAAAATGACTAAAACAAATTCTAACACAAGTCAGTAATGATGGAAGGATTATGATTAGCTCGTCAAATTCTATGTACCTAAAGTCCATTAAGGAAATAAATAAATAAAATCCACGTTGTCAGAAATTAATGGAGCTACTGTAGGTTTCATTTGATTAGCAGTTGCCTGCTACAGTTCTCTGGTTTATTTACTTCTGATTCTTCTATATCTATTCTGACTGTATCACTTCGTTGTCAAAAAGATCTCAGAAATCACTATAGCCTAAAATTAAAATGCAGGAATTTTAATTCACTGCCAGATTCAGAATCTGACTTTCAAGCAATTGTCCTCTCATCACAGTACCTCTCCTTGGGACTGAAGTCTGTGTGCAGCCCTATGTCCTGTATCTTTTAGTTCATCTCAAGCTTTTACATGCATGGATAATAAACAGGTGCCTCCTTCTTGGACCTGGAAGAGAGGGGAGGGCAGTTATTTAAGCAGTATTTTGGTTACTGTATAAATTCCTAACAATCATTTTAAAAACCCCATAGATGTCTCCGTGTGTGTGTGCGTGTGTGTGTGTGTGTGTGTGTGTGTGTGTGTGTGTGTGTGTACACTCACTCATGGGCATCTGTCCCTTTTACACAGTAGGACCAGGAGTCCCTGGAGCAGACCCAGCATCTGCTGCACTGGTCCTTGTGCCTGAAGGCCTCCTCTTTGCATGTAGCCAAAGGATCTGTAGGAGGGGCCTCAGACCCCACAGCCGAGGCCACTCACTCTGTGCACTCTGTCCTCCAGGTCCCCTTCTCCAACTGCAGCCGTGACTGCCTGGCAGGGACCAGGAAAGGGATCATTGAAGGGGAGCCCACTTGCTGCTTTGAGTGTGTGGAGTGTCCCGATGGGGAGTACAGCGATGAGACAGGTAAGGGAACGGTGACATGACACTGCGGGACTCCTCGGGCCGCCACACCAACTGCCTGGGGTCAGAGAAGGCCATGGAATGGCTGAGCTAAGGTGGCGCCTGCTGCATTTTCTCATTTCCCAGAGTGTGGCTGAGTGCAATGTGATACAAAAGGACACAGAAAAGGGCTTTCAGATCCCCTCCACTCCCATAAGAGCTCAAAAATGTGCCTGTTACACAGCTGCCTTTGCCCTGTTCTCCAGCTCTATTTCTCTTTCCTTAAAGTATAGTGGGCCTAAGTAGGTAGCCAAACTGTCATCTTCTCCAGCTCCAAAGTTAATAGGCCATGACAGATCAAAAATCTGTGTTCCCTTTACTGCCCCCTACTGCACCAAGGCTGCCACACAGCAGAGACTTAAGTGCTTGAATGAATCTGCAACCTCCCTCATTAGAAAGCCATGGTGATCAATGGCGTATGGGAAACAGATCACATGTATAGGATGCTCTCTGCCTCAACCTCAAAGGAAGTCCGTTCTGGCATGTCTACATGCCATCCACATAACCCAAGTAAATCAGGCTGCATGTGCAATGACCAGTTAATCTAGTTTATCTTATATCTGATTATATCCCACAAAACAATGTTACAAACTTCATTGCACAAATAAATTTTATTTTCAGAAAAAATAAAACAGTGAAATAAGGTAGACAGAGCTTGAGTCTCTCTGCAAAGAACTAAAGACCTGTGCTATCCAGGGCAGTCTTTGCTATGGACCATCAGCAGGAAACAGGAAAGAAACAGGAACCCCAGCTATAGAACCTGGAATAAAACTGTGGAAGGTACATATTTTTATAGTGTAAAAATCAAGGTGATTTCCCCAATACAGAAAATGGAAAGTGGCCACATCCAGTACCCTGTGTCCTTACCACCGCGTCACACTCACAATGTTGGCCTGTGCCACACTGTAACTAGCTCTGCGCTGGAATGTTTTACAGATGCAAGTGCCTGTGACAAGTGCCCGGATGATTTCTGGTCAAATGAGAACCACACTTCCTGCATCGCCAAGGAGATCGAGTTTCTGGAGTGGACAGAGCCCTTTGGGATCGCGCTCACCCTCTTCGCCGTGCTGGGCATCTTCCTGACAGCATTTGTGCTGGGTGTCTTCATCAAATTCCGCAACACCCCCATTGTCAAGGCCACCAATCGAGAGCTCTCCTACCTCCTCCTCTTCTCCCTTCTCTGCTGCTTCTCCAGCTCACTGTTCTTCATCGGAGAACCCCAGGACTGGACGTGCCGCCTGCGCCAGCCGGCCTTTGGCATCAGCTTCGTGCTCTGCATCTCCTGCATTCTGGTGAAGACCAACCGTGTCCTGCTGGTGTTCGAGGCCAAGATCCCCACCAGCTTCCACCGCAAGTGGTGGGGGCTCAACCTGCAGTTCCTGCTGGTCTTCCTGTGCACCTTCATGCAGATCGTCATCTGTGCCATCTGGCTCTACACCGCACCCCCGTCCAGCTACCGCAACCACGAGCTGGAGGATGAGATCATCTTCATCACGTGCCACGAGGGCTCGCTTATGGCCCTGGGCTTTCTGATCGGCTACACCTGCCTGCTGGCTGCCATCTGCTTCTTCTTTGCCTTCAAGTCCCGGAAGCTGCCAGAGAACTTCAACGAAGCCAAGTTCATCACCTTCAGCATGCTCATCTTCTTCATTGTCTGGATCTCCTTCATCCCTGCCTACGCCAGTACCTACGGCAAGTTTGTCTCGGCCGTGGAGGTGATCGCCATTCTGGCAGCCAGCTTTGGTCTGCTGGCCTGCATCTTCTTCAATAAGGTCTACATCATCCTCTTCAAGCCCTCCCGGAACACCATCGAGGAGGTGCGCTGCAGCACCGCTGCTCACGCTTTCAAAGTGGCCGCCCGTGCCACTCTGCGCCGCAGCAATGTCTCGCGCAAGCGGTCCAGCAGCCTCGGGGGCTCCACAGGATCCATCCCCTCCTCCTCCATCAGCAGTAAGAGCAACAGCGAAGACCCCTTTCCGCAGCCCGAGAGGCAGAAGCAGCAGCATCCACTGGCCCTAACTGGGCAAGAGCAGCAGCAGCAGCAGCAGCAGCAGCAGCCCATGCCCCTCCAGCCGCAGCAGCCTCAGCCATCACAACCGCAGCCCCGATGCAAGCAGAAGGTCATTTTCGGCAGTGGCACAGTCACCTTCTCCCTGAGCTTTGATGAGCCACAGAAGAATGCCATGGTCCACAGAAATGCCACCCATCAGAACTCCTTGGAGACCCAGAAGAGCAATGACAGCCTGACCAAACACCAGGCTCTGCTCCCGCTGCAGTGCAGGGACACGGACTCAGACCTGAGCACCCAGGATACAGGCCTGCAAGGGCTGGGGGCGGGTGACCACCAGCCAGAGATGGAAGCCCCGGAAGAGATGGCACAGGCATTTGTCGTGTCCAAGTCACAGGGATTTGTCATCAGTGGGTGAGGTAGCACTGTCACAGAAAACATATGGCATTCATAAAATGCAAGGCGGCCTGGCTGGGAAGAATCTTGGAATCCTAGGGAGGAGGAGTCAACCCAGATTCCTCGAAGGATAATAGACAGATGAAGTGCCCCAGATTCAGTTGTACTGCTTTGAGTAACCATCAATTGACTAATATTCCCTTTAAAATTAAAAAAAAAAAAAGCCGTGTTTTTCTGTGGTGTCAGAGCCTTGTGTCATTTGCTGTAATCCACAACCAAAATTTCACCCACTGTTCTGTCTCACTGTGCAGAGATGAGACCAAGGCTTTCAGGGCCTACCTGCTCCCCCTCCTCTAAGCATGTGCATAGGTACACATATATATGAAATGCCCACCCTGAAAGTCACAGACAGCCATGCTCTGCACCATGGCCCAGAGACACAAGTGTGCAGGTGAGAAGGACATCAGGTTTCTGTCACCAGGGCTGCCCAACATCTTGACAGTGGAAAGTATTTTAAATGTTCAAAAATATTGGTGATGTGTGTCCTATTTATGAAAACCGTAAGCTATTTGATCTCAGTCTTCTCCCTGCTGCTGCTGTCCTGCGACATCTAACAAGACTTCATCCTTCCTGTGGCAATAGTGCATCTGGTTTTGTCCAAGATGTCGGTAGAGATGCTATGTTCAAACTCCAGGATCACAAATATCACCTCAAATTGTTGGGAAGGGACTGAGTAAATCCAAAGAGCTGTATCTGTAATGAGTGTTGTTCTGCATAGCTTAGCCTTCAGAAACGCTTCTGTTGTAATGGCCCACGGACAATATAAACTGAAAAATGTCAGTCCGGTTTCTAGGAGGCAGTATTACTGAGCTCCGTTTTCCTGCCCATCCACCTCTTCACCCTCTCCCTCATGAGTCCTCTCTCAGTCCCAGAGGCCCAAAGTCTCCCTCTATCCCTGCCCCAAGGCTTTCTGAAGCCAGAGCCACACCTGACCCTGTAGAAAACAAGCTCCTGGTGGTTAGTCCCCTCACATTGCTGGGGTACGAAAGTGTGACTCCGCTGCTCCAGCATTGGACACAGAGGTGTTCAGGGGCTGCCTTACTGCTGAGCACTGAGACTCTGCAGCCAGAGAGACCAAGGCAGCCCTCGGCTCAGTCACTTGCAAGCTGGGTGACCCTAGGCAGGAAAATATAATCTAAGAGCAGATTCTTCTTCTCTAAAGTGAGGGTAATAATGACTCTTTCCCTCTAAGTTCTTACCAGATTAAGTGAGATAATGTATATAAAGTCCATTAGCATGATAGCTAACACATACCAAGCACTCAATAAATATTAGTTAATACTATTACTCATATCTTAATTAGTGTTTCTTCGGTTGTCGTAGACTATGCTATAATTTGGATTGTGGACCTCTCCCTACAGTCTGTGTGTTAAAGTGTTGGTCTTCATGGAGGCATTACTGGGAGGTCCTAGGTCATTGGGGATGTAGCCTTGAAGGGAGTGTGGGACCCCTGCCTCTTCCTCTTCCCTTTACCTCCTGGCCACAAGGTAAGCTGTCTGCTCTGTCACACTCCCCACCTGTTTGGCAGCCCCACAGGAGGCCAAAAACCATGTGTCCATCTGACCATAGGTTAGAACAAGTGAAACCATGAGCCACAATAAAACATATTTGCTTTCTAAGTTAATTATCTCAGATAATCAACCCAAGAGAGATACCCACAATCCTCCCAGCAAGGCCACTTGTTCTCCAGCCAGCTGCTGCCCTCTGCTGGTCATGCATCCAAGCAAGCTACAGAGCTGAGTAAGAATTTATGTTCAGCATTTTACGTACTTGGACTCCAGAAAAAGGTAAATAGGGTGTATTAGTATATTCCTGTTGTATCAGCACTTGGGGGATGGAGGCAGGAGGATTGTTACAGGATCTCAAGACCAGCCTGGATAACATAGAAAGCCCACCCACCGAGTTAAAAAGGAATGAGAGAGTAACAAGAAATGAGAGAGAAAGAGAAAAAGAGTAAGAGAGTGACAGAATGAGAGGGAGGGAAGGAGGCAGGGAAGGGAAGAGAAGAGAGGAGAGGAGAGAGAGAGAGAGAGAGAGAGAGAGAGAGAGAGAGAGAGAGAGAAACAATGTCTTCCATCTTTTTCCTTTTTTTTCTTTTTTCTTTTTCCTGGTACTGGAGATTGAAACCAAAGCCTTCACACTGAGCTCTATCCCCACACATTTTTATTTTTATTTCCTTTTTATTTTGAGACAAATGCTTGCTAAATTACTAACTTACCCAGACTGGGCTTAAACTGGCAGTCTTCCTGCCCCAGCCAGGTAGAGTGCTAGTATTACAGCCTTGCACCCCATCTCAACTTTGTCTTAAAAAAAAAAAGTGTCACAATAACTACAAAGAAACAATTTCAATAGAACCTCACACATTCCTCCTTCCAGGGCTGGATTTCAATATACACCTCACTGAAATCATTCATGTTCCTCCCATGGAAGGGAGTTCTGATGAGGCCCAGAACACGTAATGGTTTTGCTCTCCTTTCCTTTTACCAGAGCTTGCAAAGAAAGTAACCTCTGCCAAATTTCTCATCAGGAGAATGGATTCAGTACTGTCTTTCCAATTTTTACTATGAAGTCAAATTCTCAGCACCAATTCAGAGGGATAAAAAATAAATTTCATTATTTTTCTGTAATAACCTAATGTTTATCTCAAATTCCCTTTCAATCTAGTGACAGAAACTTCATCTCAGTCATACTGGGGTAGATTTCTACAGTGTAGTATAGCATACTCAATTTTCTGTTCCTATAACAAAATACCTGGGATAGTCTAAATTTATAAACAGAAGTTTATGAGCTCTTGATTCTCAAAATACAAGTCTAGGGCCTGTAGAGATAGCTCAGTAGAATAAGTGCTTGCTTGGCAAGCACAGGGTCCTGAGTTCAATACCCAGTACCACCAAAAAAAGGAAGAAAGAAGAAAGAAAGAAAGAAAGAAAGAAAGAAAGAAAGAAAGGAAGAAAGAAAGAAAGAAAGAAGAAAGAAAGAGAAAAGAAGGAAGGAAGGAAGGAAGGAAGAAAGAAAGAGAAAGAAAGAAAGAAAGAAAGAAAGAAAGAAAGAAAGAAAGAAAGAAAGAAAGAAAGAAAGAAAGAAAGAAAAAGAAATGCAAATCTAAGGTCAGGCACATCCATGGTTTAGCCTCTGGTCAGGGCCTAACAGTGAACAGCATCTCAGCAGCAGACTGTGTATGGGAGGAAGAGATCTCATCTCAAAACAGGAAGCCAGTTCAGGGATCAGACTCACTGTTGGAACCGCTCACCATCCTGAAAGCTCCAAGGTCCTGGGAGACTAATCTTCATGTCCCATGGAGGAGAACCCCCACTTCCCCAGGGACTTTCTGTTGGGGCTCACTTCCTACAGGTTCCACTCTACCTCTCAGCACCACCGTACAGGGGAACAAGATCCCAACCCCTTGGGGACACACTCGAGCCATATACAAACCTTAGAAGCATCACACCCCTTTCTAGTTTCCAACCGTGGCGTCCACAATGGTGTTCATGGATGCTTCTCTGTTCACTGACACTTCCACCCTAAGCCTGCTAGTGCTTTCTGCTATCTCCATGCCCACCCTTGGGGCTGGAAGCTACCTTGAACTCTCACTGCCACATCCTACATGACTACCACCACCAAGACAGAATGGAGAGTTCATGTACGCTAACAAGAGTCCAAGACATCAGATGAGATATAGGCTATATACCCTCCCAAAGACTGTATGTGATTTTTCTGGTAGGCAAAATAATATTGACCCCAAGATGCCCAAATTCTAAATTCCAGAACCTATAACTTTGTTCAGGCAAGAGTGAATTAATTGATTGAATTAAGGATGCTGATTGAATTAAGTTAATTTTGAGGTAGAAACATTGTCCTGAATTATCCAGGTGGGCTCCAAGTAATCACACAGATCCCTAAACAGAAGAGGAAGCAGAAGGGTCAGGGTCAGGGTGATGGAGGCTAGGATAGATTCCACCTCCATCACTGCCTTTGTGTAAGGGAGGTGACCAGGAGTGAGGGAATGCCAGTGGGAACCCTGATGGATGCTCTACAAAACTGCCAAGAGAAATGCACCCTGAGCAACACATTGAGTTTAACCCAGTGATTTGAGCCATTTCAGGACTTCTGACCTCCAGAAATGTGAGAAAGTAAATTTATGTTGTTATAAGCCACTAAGCTCCCTGTAATTTCTTCCAGCAACAAGAAACAAATTGGTCCTCTATGTTCCTGAGATTCACCTGCTCCAGGCAGTAGCCTGGGCCTTTCTCAGAGCCTATTTGTGCTCTCACCATAGCACCCTCTGTTCCCACTATCTCACTCCTCCTCCTCCCAAATGAAGGGTCCTGACCAATATTTCATTCTCCAGATCTGTATGGGAAGAACAAACCCTATGATCTGAGTCTTTCTACACTTTGACTACAGAAAAGTAGCACCGTGTCATTCAACTGATTATCTGTTAGTAACAACAGCCTGAAAAACAAAAGCTTCAACAAACTAGCATACATTTTTCTCTTTGAGACAAGATTTCAAAAGGTAAATATATGACTGACTTTAGTCACTATTTTTGAGAGATTCCTCAGGGTCTGTTGGCAATTTGAAATGGCTTGTCTTTCTTTTGAAAACAAAATGCGTTATATAATTATGAAGAGTTTTCTGTCAAATTAAAATTAGGGGCTTTTTTTAAGAAGACAAAATAGTGATTTAAAAGAACACTATTAGCAATGAAAGTTTTGTAGAACTTAAAAATGTAGTTTGGAACTCTACAGGTGGTAACCAGCACAGAAAATTATCGCCCTGAAAGTCCCTGCAGCCCATCACAAGTTGTCTAATTGGATTAATTGTAAACTGGAGAAAATTGGGCTATCCACCCTGTTTCCAAAAGTCACAGTTCAGGGTAATGTTGACTGTTCTTTTCTCCTGGCTGAAGTCACATAGCTGTGGTTCAGCTCTGCCCAGGTCTCAAGTTTCTCTTAGTTCATTGCCTGCCTTTAAAATTATTAGTGTTCGAGAACAAAGAGTATGGGAGGAGGGGTGCATGTTTAATCACAGGAGGGCATGCCCTGCATTGGTCTGAGCCTGGGTGATCATTTCAGGAAGCCATTGAAGGAAACCTAGGTGG